TAAACCTGAAGGCTATCTCGTTTATAAGTGGACCAAATTTTACCTTATTTCACACATGTAACAAGCATGGGTCTTAAAATCTGCAATCAAATTTGAGAAAAAAGTTTCTTTTCCATGGATAGGGCGGTCACATTGGATTTTGTTGACATGTCTTCCGTAATGAATACCGCACTTATCGTTCTTTCATGGAAATTGATTGATTTTTTGCTTACATGTTAGCAAACATTAGATCTTAAAATTTGTCTGATGATTTTTTCCTTAACGAATTAGAATTTTTTTTAATGCATTTTTTCCTGAGGTAGTAGTCAAGTTTGCAAAATAATCCGTGACCATCCATACTCCAGACACCACCAACAAAATCTTTTCCATATCCCAAAATTCTACAAACAAATTTTTAGTATCACATTTTCTTTTCAATTATCTCATAAAGATTAGCTGAAAAATGATGGAGTTATTCAAAAAAGTATAGAGAAAAATCGCGTTTTGAGAAAACGGCCGATAAAGAAAGAAATTTGGCTTTATGAGGAAGGGGTGGTGACAAATATGCCCGGTATGGGAAGAAATAAGGCTTTTGGGGGTTCTTAAGCGATGAAATAGTTGTAAGAGAGGCCGAGGAAGCTAAAAATGCCTACAATTCAAATTCTATAATTTTGAGTCGAATCGGGACTTTGTGGGTGTAGCCCCCCTCCCCCTTAAGCGGACTTCAAGGTAGTGTTGTGGCGTCGGTAGCCTAGTGGATAGGCTGCCGGATCCGTAATCGTGAGATTGCAGATTCGGGGGTTCAAGCCTCAGCTCAGTCCGATGTTGTGTCCTTGGGAAAGGCACTTTTCACAAATTTCCTATTCTTGTCTCGGTCCTTTCGGAGATGGACGTTTAACTCGGATGTCGTGCCTCTTAAATAACCTAATAGTGTTGATATAGGCGTTAAATCATTACCATTTGAACATTTTCAACGGCAGTATTGACTAAAGATCGTATATAACAAGATAGTTCACTCCTCTCTTTGAGCCAATTAAAGAAGTGTCCTCAAAATTAGGTGGTGCCCTCTTTGAAAAAGAGCGGACTGTGCAAACAGAGTTACTCTCCTTGTGTGAAAAACTATAAAAGTGAAACTAACAAACTGTGTTATTTCTATTCTTCTTCTGGAGAAACGAAAAAGGGCTTCAAAACAAAGACTGCAGCGCCATCTGAAGCAATGCGTGGACTTCCGGTTGAGTGAAAAATCTTGTTTTGTACGATCTTTGGTATTGACAATTCTACTCACTGTGCGTGCACTACGGCGAAGTGAACCTAGATGGGGTCGTGGCGTCTTCCGTAACGTCTCATCTGACCTCAAACGTTGGTCCCCACACTCAAAGGCTGCCCTGAAACAGGTCTCTATGTCCTTCAGGCACGCAGATATGTCTTTGGTCTTAACACAGAACACACCTGATGTGGGCCGGACTCGCCACTGTACCGTCAGCCAGCGAACGTCGACAAACCTCGCATCGTCCTCATTTAGACTCACGCGCATATCTTCCTCTGAGCAGAGTACACTGTCGTGATCTTTCGTTGGCTTTTGAAACAAGGAGCATTTCGACCCAATAATATGCTTTGAGTCTCCCGTTACCAGAATAACCTCCCAGTCAAGCTTGACAGGCCATAAAAGGTCCGATACGTTAAGATGTTTGGAAGCATTCACACAAACGGAAAATATGAGAACGCCAGGAGATTCGTTACACATAATTCGCCCTCTGACTTTGTACAGACTACCCCCTCTTGGTTGTAAGTCCTGGTAAGAGCTATACATATCACAATGCTCCTCTTTAAACAAATCACAGTCGATGTTCTCCATAACGATAAGCTCTTGATCAGTGGGGTCCTCACACAACTGCTCTTTGGCTTTGCATGAAAGACCAGTCAGCGCGGTGGAACACTTCTTCCATTCGCTGATCGTGTTCACTGGCACAGATAGAAATTTGGAGTTTGTGTGCAGAGTAGAATTTATTTCTTCTTTCCACGCCTTGCAATCATGGCACACTCTCCTGGATAAACTCTGGACGTAATCGGTATCTATTGAGGCATTCGCTTTGCCTATATAGACGGACCAAGTGATCTTTTTGGGTGAACCCTTCCCTTTCCCGAAGACAAGGATAGCGTCGTAGACAGACAGATGGAGTTGGAGGTCTTCGTGCCATTGATAATGCTTGGACAGTCTCTGGCCAAACTGAACACCATTTATGGACACTTTCCAAGCCAAACTGGGTGGCCAGTGCAAGAGACTGGCTTCTATTTCCTTATCCACACCGAGATACACGTTCATCGTGCCCTTGTGTTTGTACAGCACTCCACATACCCGGTATTTGGACACACCGTCCGACACCGAGTGCCACGACGTCGCCACATAGCCGTCAGACTCCGGAACGAGAAACTCGATAAGGATCGGGGTAGCGATGTGCGAGTTGAGATTCAGACCCTCGTACAACGATTTGGTACATCTGAGCAACCGGAACATAAAGCGCTGGACTTTCTGCTTCTCTTGCTCAATCAACTTTTTTTTGGACTGCTGATAAAAGTAATTCCCAATGAGGCACAAGAGCACACAAAGGGGTAGCATTTTCCATAAGAAACCAATCAAAAATGATATGCAAAAAGCAGCTAAACTGAATACACACTTCAAAAACCCAAATGCAAGCCATTTGACGACATTTACGATAATATAAAACATGTTTGCGCCTGGCATTGTTCATTGGATGTGGTATCTTCCACTGGCGTTTGATGAGCCTGCCAACAACAGATTCCTTCTTGCGCTTGCTGTGTCCATATCCATTTCTTCGTTGTTAATCCTGGCATAGGAAATAAAACAAGGAACTCAGATAGATTGACAAACAGACAGACAGACACACACA